TATTGAAACCACATTTCTTGACACTATTTGAAGGTAGGCTCTAATTTGATTGTTTAGAGCCTAGGCTCTATAGAATCTGCACCCATATTTTTATATTACTATGTATTTAATCAGGTGTCTAAAATTCTAAATATCTGTTTAAAATTTTCAATATTATGTAATTATTTGATGTATTAGGTTTTTAGATTAAACGTATCAGATTTTTAGATTGAACATATAGTGTTAGAGGAGTGGACCAGCCTGGGGACTTCGGCTTAGGAGGAAGGGATATTGTGGCTGGGTATAGTTAGCTTGATTCTCAAGTCCTCGAACCCCCAAACCTGGAGTGGATATTGTGGCCGGGTATAGTTAGCTTGATTCTCAAGTCCCCAAATCCCCAAACTTCTTCTTCAACCAATAACATGATGTTCGGGGTAACAAGATTCCGATGAGCCACCACATCATTATGTTTGGTTCTAGATTGTATGTTTTAACTCATTTGAATAAAATATTGATATTAATTGATCCTATGAATGTCACATTGAGATCAATGCATTTTAAAATGTGAAATGACTGTGTGACACTCAAACGGGAACTAGACTCCCAATTTTAACATGTCTTTGGTAACTTCAACTCCATTAACAACCACTTGTACATCATTCTTCAGTCTACGCCCTTTATCTTAAGCGTTGGATTGAACTAATCCATTGACACAAATCAAAATATGTAAACCTATTTGTCAAATTTTCACAAATCAACTCATTTTGATTTGTAAATTTTTAAGATACTTTTTCAATTTTTTTTGCCAGCTCCAGGTGGCTGAACAGGTTGAACCAATCTGAGTTGGCCAGTTCATCGGGTGGATTGGGAAGTTGTGTGTGACTGGTTTGGTCCGGTCACCTCACCCAATCCGGTTTTTTAAACACTGCTTGAGATGAATTTCACAAAATGTATAATGATGGACATTTGTGTGGGTATGGTTAATCTCAACCATCCAAGGGAATGGATGGTGGATGTTCCCATGATATAAAATGTACCATGCCCCATTATTGTATGGTATACTTTCTTGTATCCTATAACACTCATTAAATGTTTGCATGAGTATAAGTGTGTTTAAATGCTTGTCTGTACATACTTTATATGTTTCATGTGGGTAGGCTGTTAAAGGTTCGGGCAGGCTAGGTCAAGCCCGGCCTGAAACAGTGCAGGTAGGCCCAGGCCCAACCCAAAATACATGATATTGATGCCCAAGCCCAGCCTGGGCCAGGTAGGCGAGGCCCTTTGTAAGTGTGAAAAACATAAACAAATGTATGTAATATGTGCTTTATAAAAAATGGAATTCTGGCCTGGGCCAGGAGAGTGCTTGGCTTGGCCCTATCTGAAAATATTTCTGGCCTACCAAGCCTGGCCGGCAGGCCTATCAGACGGCCCGAAACTGGGCCTGGCTTGAAGGCCAGCGGGCCGACGCAAGCCCATTAATAGCCCAGACGGTGTCTTATGCACACATAATTAGACCTATTGTTTTGTATACTATCATACAAGTAGTACACTATTCAGTTTGCTGCCAGTGCCATCCACTGTGTGACGTTAGCAGCAGAAGGCTGATGTGAACTGTTCTTCTGCTTAAGTCTGTTATGGTTGTTTGAATGGATGAGCATTTGACTTCTACTGTCCACTGTTGGAGACTGCTCATGATTCCTGTAGCAAATTGAACAGTATGTTACCAGTTCCATCATATACTTTCTCGATGTGTGTGTGTATATGCCTTGATAAGAAGCTGGGACTTAATTGGATACATACAACAATTCTGTTTTTTTATTTTTCTCGAATGATGAATCATTAGAATAATTCTTTCCAAAGTGATAAAGTTATCATGTGATTGTAGTTTTGGCATTTACTTAGTCAAGAATCACAAATCAATCTGGATATTGCTATTGAAACTCTTAAGAAAAAGGTAGCTTGGTTTAGTTGTGTATTTATATCTTCCTATGAAAATGCTCACATAAGGTCTCATCTGCTTTTCAAGTAGAACAGTTAGCAATTTACTCAGAAATGTATGTGAACACATCGCTGACGACAAACTTATATTTTCATGATTGGCTCTTTCAGAGCAAATGGATTCTTATATGATTGGCCGAGGCACATAAAATCTACATATTGCACAGTGTCGTCTGTTAGTGAATTAATAATCTTTAAACTAAATGTCTGAAGCAAAATAGAATTGAGCATTCAGATTCATTAAGTTTGTGATCTGTGCGAGAAAAGCTAATGAGTGGGTTATATTTCTACCACTGCATGTGTTATATGATCTTGAGATGTTAACATGGAGTCCGCTGGCTGAAATACTGCAACAATATATGTATATGAGCTATATAAATGATTAAAGGGAAAGTATAAAAATTGAGACCATTTACCTTTTATACAAGGTGGTCACACTAATCTTGACCTTTGGATGTAAAGTTGGGTGGCTGCAATTATTCCATTGACCAAGCTCAAACTTCAAAAAAAATTTTCTTGAACTTTGTGACGCATCCAAGCTATCAAATTTCACATCAAATGGTTGTAAGGAATTGTGACCATCTTGTATAAAAGGTAAATGGTCTCATTGTATACAATCCCATGATTAAAATCCGTACTACTTTCTTCTGTCTTTGGTAATTATTGTTGCTACAAATATACTGAAAGTCATGAGTGTGGTTTTGTGCAAAGAAATGTCTATGTAATCTTGAATTACGATATGCAGATTGCCCACTGGGGTCATCATAAAGAAGAATGCGGTAGACTAGAACAACAAATGAGAGACATGGATACTTTGAATGATTTTCCATTTACATTCTCTACTGAAGCTACATTCCAGGTAATTGAATTTCTGGTTATGTTTCGGGATGATCATTTATGACTGGCTGGCAGCCATCACTAACACTCTGTTTTGGTTGTACTATTTAAGAATGTTAGTTCTAGGGTTGGCTCTTGTGATAATCATTAATGTTTCATTGGTTACAGCATTGTTTCACTTTGTCCATTTAATGTTTAAGAATGTTAGTGCTAGGGTTGGCTTTTGTGATTATCATTAACTTTTCATTGGTTACAACATTGTTTTCACTTTGTCCATGTAATGTTCTTTTTATTTTTTCTATGAATAGGGAAAAATTACTTATTTTTAGTTTTTTTCAATTTCAAAAGATGTATATATTTAAATTTTAGCTTTAGTAACTGTTTTGGGGATTCTAGGGTTTTTTTTTTTTTACTTCATGAGTATTGCTCATGAGTACTGTTCATAGGTATTATTCATGGATTACTGTTCACAAGGGTAAAATTGTCATTGCAAAGTTTGTGTTTAAGTTATGGCCCATTTTAATTATTGTATGGATATTTAATGTCTTGGAATATTAAATTGTAATAACTAATATGTAAGAGGTGGTAGGCCCTTAAGGGGGTTATTCCATGTGATTATCAGAACTTGAAAGAGAGAAACGCTTAGGCTTTTGGAACCTTAGCTTGGGTATGGAGAAGAAACCACAAGGGTCTTTGGCTTGTGCTTGTGTTTGGCTTATTCCTTACTGATTTTCCTGTTTCCTTCAATTTTTCTTGCATCATGTGGCATAGCTCAGGGTTCCTTCAACAACAAAGCCAGGAAATTACAGACAAGTTTAGGGTTTGTTGATTTTGGGCCATGTTTAGCCAAAATCAGCCTAGAACTTGTTGATTTCAGCGAGGTTTTGTTGATTCTTTAATTAGAGTTTGTGGTGGCTAATCTATGGAAGTGAGAAGGGGCTGTAGAAGGGGTGGTTGCACAAATCCAGTTCGTGATCCCAGAGGTGAAGAAATTGACGAAATTAAAAAGCAAGTTTAGCAACTGGTGCAATAATTAGCGAGCATCATTCATAGTCAAGACTATGATCTTTTCGCCAATGATGTCGAGTACCACCTTTTTAACCTCTGTACTCCGTGTGAAGAGTTGAATGAAGAGCAGAGTGATAGAAGACCTAGACATGGGGAATATCACTCTAGGATTTTCGATTTAAGGGATATTGTTGATTTTGATGCAGTTTGTACCAAAAATCAGTGGGTTGTAGATTGAGATTTGCCTCTAATTTTCAATACAAACATAGAAAAAGAATAGGATCTTGTAGCAGATCTAGTCTACGATGATGATCAAGATTTTGTGGCTAAATACCGATTTTTGACGACGAAAAAGATGGAGATCTCAAAGATATCGAAGAGAGGGCATTGGAATCAGAGTAGTGTAGAGGAAGCGTAGTTCACTCATAAACCGCAAATTGTGGCCTTGGTTTCAGAGTGTAATGAAATAGATGTCGAGAAAGCCTCTAAAGGCTATAAAATTAAGATTGAAGTTTCCTCCACGATTTTCAATAGGAGTTCAAGAATAACCTAATTGGATAAATTTGGATTAATTCTTCAATATGCATATAAGGATTCGTTTCTTGAGGAATTTTTTTTTACCATGAATAATATTTGAGCCAACAAAGAAAACGAAGGTTGAAGAATGTGGTTTTGATGCTAAATTATTTTAGCACACTTTCTCAAGGACGAGTTTTCTCTAACTAGGGGAGAATGGTGAAGGGAAAATTATACTTCTTTCTATTTTTTTGTTCAATTTCAAAATATTTATATTTTAATTTTAGTTTCAGGTATTCTATGGTTTTTAAGTTTTTTAGGAATTCTAGGATTTTTTTTATAGTTCTTATTTACTTCATGAATACTATTTACGAGTGATATTTAAGGGTATTGTTCATAGGTACTATTTCATGGGTACTGATCACAAGTTATTGTTCATAGGGGTAATAGGGCCTTGAGGGGGTCATTCCACGTGATTTTTAGAAATTGAATGAGAGAAAGGCTTAGGCTTTTGGAATCTAGCTTGGGGTATGGAGAAGAAGAAACCTACGGTTTCTTCGACTTCTGCTAGTGTTTAGCTTGTTCCTTGTTGATTTTATTGTTTCCTTCGATTTTTTACGCATCAATTAGAGAAGGTGAGAAGATGAAGAGAGGCGGCTGGAAGCAGTCACGTTAGGGTTTCTTAGCCTTCACGCCCCTCTCTGTCTTTATTGATGATGATAACTTAAGTACAAATGCCACCAATACCCTTAAGTATTACACTAATGTCCTCGAGTATGTAAAAAGGACAAAATGCCCTATTGACCCACAAGCAAGACACATAATCAAAAGAACTAATCTCTAACATGGTTATTTGGATTAAAACATTGGAGAAAATTTTATAAATTTACAACAATTAGGCCTCCTATAGTGTTCCATTGTAGGTATCTTAACATTAATAAGGTGGTCACTTCATGTCCTTTGCTTAGTATATGACATCTGGCTTGCCATAAAGATCATTAGATACTGACGTTTCTCAAACCTACACATTGAATCGGTTTCTAATTTAAATATGCATTGCTCCAATAATAAACAATGTACTAATTTCAAGTTTAAATGCAACTCAATCCACTAAATAGTTTACGAAGCTGATTGGATACCTTCAAATATGGCGGTATTTTTGTCTTTGTATTCCTAATTTAAGATTGACTTTCATGCAAACTGGTATAATTAGAAGGTTTTAAAATTCGGTCTAGTCGACTTAGACTTCCCCGAGTTACTTAGATTCGGCACCTTGTAGAGCCGAATTCTTTGGGACAAACTCGATAATGCCATAAAATATACATTTACTAAATCCATGTATAAAAATGTTATATAATCTTGATGTTTTTTATGATGATTTGTGAGTTTTTTTGTTGGGGTTTTGTAGGTTTTAAAGGCTATTAGAGCATGTGAAATGATATTTATAGTAGATTAGGCACTTCAGTAGGAGTGTGTATGTGTTGACTAACCAAGGTGGCGGTTTATGGCCCTTATTATGTCTTAAAACCCTTACCCCTAGGCATGTGGTACTACCAAGAGGGGTTTATTATTGGTCATCCATTTTGGAGGTCGAAGAGATGCCCAATGATGATGTTTGTAGGCCAAGAGAGCTATGTGGTCCCGTGTGTGCGGTTGTATGCCTGTGAGAGCGAGGGTCAAAGCCTCAACAAACTTTCGCACAACATGTATATATGATATCCACAGTACAAGGTAGTATCTTTATAGAGGGACACGTGTACATGTGCGTAGAGACAACCCCCCTTTGTGTTGTAGTGATATGTGCTAGACTTGCTCATGGGGAGGAGGGGGGGCGGGGGAGATTGAAATCCACATTCTGGGATCATGGTACTATTGTTTGTATTGGCCAACTTTAACAAGCCAATTATGAGTCCTTACATATGAATGTGGGTCATGGGTCTTTGTTGGGTTGGTTTCAGAAGACAGTTGTAGATCGTGTTTATTGGATCTAGTGGAGTGCCTTTATAGTCACTTATTTTAGCCCATTGGTACCAGTCCACTTCTAGATATTCTATTTTTGGTATTAAAAATGTTTCTGTTAATTTTACATTTTTCTTTAGGATATTTAAAATTTATTTCTGATGTAAAATCTTTAATTAGAGTATTTTTGTAATTAAGTAAATAAGGAAGGCCACATGTGGGGGCCTTGGATCCAGCCCCCACATGCTGCCACACTGCCTATGGGTAGGACATGTGGACCTTATGTGGTCCACTTATGGACCATAGGGGTGGCACGCCACACTTTTTTTTTTAAGTGGTAGTTTTTAATTAAAGTTAGTTATAAGTCGAATAATCTTTTAAAAGAAAAGATTACGTTCTAGTTTTGTGGGAGTTTTGTTTTGACCAAATAAAAGTTATCTTTGACTTGCTACAATTTTAGATGAAAATATTAGGAAGATCTAAGTGATACTAAAGTGGCTATATTTCTATTAGAAATTGGAGTTGGGTCAAATGATAAGGGGATAGAGTTCTTAATTTTCCGCCATGAATCGTGATGACTAATTTGTGAGATGGATGAATCAAATTTAGTCTCTCACACCCACAAATTTCCTAAGTTCCTATTGTCAAGCTGTGTTATTGGTGGAGAAGGAATTCTAAGTCCAAATAGGAGAAGAAATTATGTCTATTTAAACACAATTGAACCGCTCTCTCTCTACACATATATCGCTCTCCAAGCCCCAGAAATTATTCTCTCTTATTTTGATCACGACCCTCTCTCCTTTTTTCCTTGCTGTGATGTCACCAAAAAAGAAGAAGAAAAAATTAGAAAAGGGGGTGGCACGTTGGAACTTTAGTGAGGGTTTTTGATGTATTTTGAGGAAAAAGAGAGGTACACCCAGTCTAGAGAAATAAAGTATTCAAGCCTAGCCCTAACTTCATCCTAAAGGGTTCCTACAAACTCTAGATAGGTTTCTATGCTCTCTAAAACACTAGAACTAGAGGTATTACCTATGAAAGCTTCCCATCTCTGTCCAGCAAGATAAAAAAAAAACAAAAATGCATCATCAGTTAGGAAATCGTGTGTGGGTGTATCAAGTCCTATGGGGGTAACCCTAGGCATGATCAAGTAAATCTTCCCAGCAGTTTTATTTATTTAATTATTTTTCAGTCATATTTGCGTAGTTTCTGTTATTTTCCAGGAACATATATTGTGCTTAAATTCATAGTGGAAGGCTGGACATTATTTTGGGTTATGTTTATTTGCTTTGGCAGTAAAAAGAAAGGTCATAGGTTGTATTTAGAGTTTTATTTTTTGGTTTATAGCACTATATTGTGGCTCATGTAAATAGATTCAGCTATATTAATAAAAGAAAAAAGAAAAGTTTTGAATTTATTAACTTGAGTTCCACATGGCCACATCTTTCATTTTTCTTATTCTATGCTATATTTTCCTAATTCCATCTGTAAATCAAGTTTTTCCAAATTCCATCTTCTATATATTGTCTCCATCTCTTTTGGACTTTTAATGCTCTTTATAGTTTCGTTTGCTTTTTACTTTTTCATTAAATTTTTTGCAATTACGTAATTTCTAGCCCTTTTTTGCATAGGTACACTACTTGGACGAGTCCACTTGGACTCGCCTGAGTTTCTTGGCTCGGGCAGGGCCAGATTCCTGAGCCCAAGCCGAGTAATTAAAAACTTTATAATTACTTATTATTGCAGATCGTAGCACAAGCTGTGGGTCTTCTACTAAGTCATATGTTTGATGTGATAAGTTTATTTCATTTCAAAGGCATGACTTGGTGATGACCGGTTTTCCAGTACTGGCTTTTTTAGGATTGCTCTTTGCAACCACATAAGTTATGTCTTTATTTTCTTACCTTCTCTGCCATATCTTTTTCTTAATCAGATTATAGGAAGACAGTTTTCCACAAATAAAAAAAATATGAGCCCCGAAAAATGGGCCACTCATGTGCCAATACGTTTTCCATGAAAGTCCATGACCAGATTGTCTTTAAGAAGACAGCAATCTGTCGTTTGAAATGGAAGGGATACGATTCCCCCAATTACCTTCTAGGTAGTTGTTAATGTTTTTACTTATATTTTCTTGAACACCCTTTTATGCGTCTATTCTTTGATCCTAGACATGTTTGAAACACGTACACGTGCGTGTGCATGCATGACATGCATCAAAGTGTGCAAACACGGACACACTTGCAAACACACTCAATATGCATGGATTTAAATGTGGTGGGAATTCATTCATTATTTTCGTATTTCTTATAGGTTTTTGCGAAGGAGTTGACACGTTGCTCATTCCTAAAGAAGAGAGGCCTTCATCAAACTGGTCTATGGAAATCAGAATGCAGTTGTGCAACTTCACTAGCTTCTCTTGATTATTCATGGTTTTTTTTCTATCTTTCTATACTTGTGCTGAGTTGGACCTAGGCCTTCTGCCCTTAAGAATATATACATTCATGTGCCTTTTTGCACGATTTGATTCCTGAAGATGTGCATGCATTTGTTGGTAAACTCTAATAGATTTTGGTATCTCTCTCCTCAAACTTATAGCTCTGAAGAATGAAATATGGGTTTTTTTTTAGAACTGTTAACATTGTATTACTAAGACTGTAGAAGTATACAAAATGTGTAGGACTGAAAGCACCCTCACTGTCATTCAGTAAAAAATAAATTAGTCGTCCATGTTCAGATAGGCTTATAAGTTCCGCCCAAGTAACAAAGGTATATAATTAGATTTACAGAAAATAAAAACAGAGCTGGTTATCCATTTCGAAGCTAGCTCCCTCCTTCGTCAATAGATCTGCAAGATTGTTGGATATCCTCCACGTATGCTTCCATGAGACGCTCGTACCTTGCAGATGTGAGTAATTTCATAAAAAATAGATGACAGTTGCCATGGTGGAGAGGACGAGCCTCTTGCCCAAGAGATGGTGTTCTGAGAGTCTCCTTCCACAATCAGATTTGTGCCCCAGGATGGGTTGAGGTTTCTCAAGGCCAAAAGTAGAGCCATAGCTTCTGCGTATTGGGAATCATAGATCCCGAGGTACACAGAGAAGGTGACAAGGATGTTTCGCTGGCAATCTCTAAAAACACCCCCTACGCCTGAAGGGCCGGGATTACCGAGAGAGCAACCATCAAAATTAAGCTTGATACTGCCCTCTAGTGGTGGTTGCCAATTGCTAGCTCTTAAGGGTTTTGAAGGCCTGTGGTTGAGGACATTATTCCATTGAGAAAGGAGGGTATTCCTAGATAAACCCGAGAAAGTCTTCGGTAAGACTTTTGTAGAAAGAAGCTATTGTAAAGAGGCCTGAGGGGGGTAGGCTTAACAATAGTATCTCTCTCAAAAGGTGGGAGGAAATGAGAGGAAAGAGCATGCGAAAGTTGTTGGAACAGAATACTTTTGTCATCCTAGAGGTTTCTTCGAAAGGAGGGACTCCAGATTCGCTGTCCACAGGAGAGAGGCATCTCCTTGGCGACGATGGAGTTAATGTTAGAGGTGAGTGAGAAGAGGGTTGGGAAAGCCTTGCACAGAGGAGATGTGGCAGTGAAGAGGCTAGAGACAATCACACCCCTGACGCCTTGTGTTTTTGTATCCTCTCTGGTACCCACGTTTCGTCCTGTATTTTGTATTTGCTACGTAACACCTGAGCCCAGAGAGTCTGGAATGAAATATGAGTTTTTTACCTTCCTATTTGCTTTGAACTTCAAACAAGAAAGATGATTTTGATTTATAAAGGAAGGGACATGCATGTATGTGGGGCAATCTTGGGAAGCATTCATCATGCGTCAATTTTTTTCCTAATAGTGATACTTTGACTTCTTTTTTTTATACGTATTTTTTATTTGGTTTTCTTTACTTGTGATTTTGCCCTTTTCTGGGAAGTCACATGCCTAGTGGGACACTTGATTCTTCTCTTGCGATACATTTGTTCTCTGCTCGTTTCTTCTGGTGCATGACTCTTATGTATAGTTACTTGAATCTCCTATGAGGGTAGCGATTCCGTTTTGGAATCTCGATTCGGCGTTTCTTCAGGTGAAAGTCAATTCGAAAAGAAAGGAATCACGTTTCCATTTTTTGCGGAACGCGATTCCACTGAGTTTAGGAACCTCGATTCTTAGATTGCAGAAATCAAGATTCCATATCGAGGACTATGTGATTCTTAGCTACACAAGAATGTGATTCTGCTTGTCAGAGACGTTGATTCCAAAGTTTTTGGAATTGCGAATCCATGTTGTTGAGAATCAAGTTTCTATATCGCAGACATCGTGAGTCCTTGTTACACAACAATGCGATTCTACTTATGCTAAATGTTGATTCAAAGTATTAAGGAATTGCGAATCCATATTGTCAGGAAGCAATGTGATCATGGGGAGAGCAGAAACCCTTCGATGTGTGCTCAATCATGAGTAAACGCGACATGTATGAGAGTGTGAGAGAATTTGAAGTTGTTGCATACGGCAATAAAATCAAAATTTCAAATATGAGTAATATGTGAGCATAGGGAGAGCATAAACCCTTCGATGTGTGCTCAATAATGAATGAGCGCGACATGTATGAGAGCGTCAGAGAATTTGTTGTTGCACACAGCAATAAAATCAAAATTTAAAATATAAATAATATGTTAAATTTTTTATTTTCTTATTTACTAATTTCCATCCTTCATTCCATGTTACTTTTTAAGAACTCTTACCAAGAATAAATAATACTAAAAAAATATTTTACTTCAAATTTAATAATGTTTGGTAAATGGTGTGGGTACGAAACTACCAATGTAATAATGTTTAATATATGATCGGCACCGTCATTTCTTCAAGTTGAATAAGAGGATAAAAATGCTTTTCTTTAAGTAAAATAAGAAGATAATAAGGATATAAGCGAAGTGCCCTGTGTGGTGTTTTAGGTTAAATTAATCATTAAATATCAGAGAAATTGACTAAAAATTGAATACCTCAATTTTCAAAAGTCAAAAGACTCAAAACTACATTTAACAAAGAAGAATTACTATGTCATGTCTTTATTTTATAATTCAAGGAAAGGAGATAAAGGGAGCTTGCCCTTGTTCTCACTTCTTGTATGCCGTTGACTAGCTCTAGACCTTGTAGGCATAATAGGGTTATGGGTATACCGAGTCCATTGTATAGGATTGTCCACAAACATAAAGGTTGACATTAGTACTTGGAGTCTTGGACTGAGTATATGCAGACCAAAATTCAATCTTGTAGTAATGGGTAAATTTATATATTTTTTGAATACTTCTCTCATATACCGGAGGGAATTGGTTCGCAATTCTAGTAATGGGAGAATCTCGATTCCAATATGGGGAGAATCACGATTCCGGAATGGTGAGAATGTTGATTCCAAGTTGATGGGGACAACGATTATAGAATTTTAGGAACCACAATTCCTTATTTTTAGGAATCACGTTCCATATTTTTAGGAATCACGATTTCAGCAACCATCGAAACAAGTGGGGTTAGGTGTGATTCCATATAGGTATGAAACGCGATTCCAACATGAAGGGATATCGATTCTTGGAAATAGGAAACACGATTCCTAATTTTTTGAATCGCGATTCCAAAATAGTGAGAATCATTTTTTTCATATCCGAATTGTACGGAAAACGATTCTTAGATTCCGAAACTTCTGATACACGTGATTTTGTGATTCCGATTCCAGAAACGATTTGGAATCATAGACGTTTCCATCAACTATACTCTTATGCTATTGGCTTTCTCCCTAAACTATACACTTAATCTTGCAATAACAGAGAAAGAATAGAGAACACGACAACATTCTTCAAGCTGCGAAGAAACTTTGAGCTATGTATGATCCTCTCCCCTTGAAAAGTTTAACTTAGTAGTAGCAATGAAGATTCATTGTTAGTACATGGCGTAAAGTCTAACGAAATGCATGTCACAGTGCTAATTACAGCCTTTCGCAATCAGCTGTCCCTTGTGTAACTGGATGCTACCATTCGGTTTATGCTCAATTTTGTATTTGTAGATTGGAAAGCATCAACTTAATCATGCATAGTCCTAATGCATCACAGCAACACTTATTATTGGTATTAGGGTTTGGGCTTAATTTGAGAATGATTTTGCAAAAAAATGCGACTAGATCCCCATAATGTACCTAATATTAAGGCCAGCTTTGGAGGATGTGGTAAGGAGTTCGTGGCACTCAAGTGTGAGGACGGGCAAAAACAGGGTCAGGCCAATGGGCCAAAAATCCTCACCCATGTATTTGTTTGACCTGAAATTATTTCAAATCATTGTTATTTCACATGGTGAAGGATTTTAAGAATAAGATAATTTTGAGGTAAAAAACACTGTATCCAGTTGTCTGCTAAACAGAGAGAATGGAGCATTTTTTGAGCTCCAAGTCATTTTTTTTCATTTCTAGATTGTACCGATAGAGCGATGATCTAAGGATGTTTTGGTCAAACAGATCCCCCTAGCTATGTGTTTTGGCTCTCGGCTTATACGATGGATATAAGCCCCATTGGCCTCTAGAATCTTCTCCCTTTTCAAACACATGCACACGCACGAGCAACATGATTTTTTTTATTCTGCATGTTTTCTTCTATTATTCATGTATTTCTTGATGCTCGAATGCCATTTATGTCCCATTATAATTGTTTTATCATTTGGTACAGCAAAAGCATGGTCTTTGTCAAATGTATTGACCTGTGCATATTTGGGCTTTTCTCTAGCATCTTTATGGAACAACATTCCTCAACCCCTGTGCCCACTCAATCATAATATAGAAGTCAATGATGGTTCTTGAGCTTCTCTTCATCACTGGTAACACTTATCAAGATGTTCTGTCCAATTGCTATTTTATGCCTTGTTTGTATGGTCCTCGATGATTGCAATTTGTCAGAACATCAGTTTTATTTGGGTTTCTTGAGGCTCAAATAGCTGGAATGGGAAGAAAATTTTGGGCAATGGCTGATGAACTTTGGAGGAGTAGATGAGAGAAATAAAGGTAAGAAACCACTTTGGACAGAAAAATTGGAAACTTAAAAGTTTTTCTTGTACCCTTGGAAGTAGGAGGTTTGGATGGTGCAGAACGTGGCTTCAGGGTCCATTTGGCTCCTTCGAAAAAAATTTATTGAGAATTCCAAGGAGAGAGATGATTGAGGATTCGTGGGAGAGCCGGGCATGGAGTTTGTAGGAGAGAGAAATGATTTCGGTGGAACACAATTCATTTCCAGATGATATAATAAATTTTACACCTACTTAGTAGGGTGATCTTTTCCCCAAAAATGAGGTAAAAATTGGGAGCCAGGAAGATTTTTCCCCCAATTTAGGCATCAATCATTAAAGATGCCTCATTTCCATGGAAGAATATCCTGGAAATTAATTTCCAAGGACCCAAACAGGGCCTCAGTGTTTCTCATTTATTAGTAAATTGAGGGTATTGGGAGATAAAGAATTGGTCCATCATTTTGCTATCTTACAGTTATGAAATGCTGATGATTATTTGGGCACTTTGTTCTTTTCACACAGATCTCTGCAATAATATTTTCATTTGATCTTTTTTGGGTTCAGATTTACTGAGCTCTTCACACCAAATCTCAGATTCTGTGTTGTCATTTTTTGTTATATGCAATGATTCCTCAAAAGAGTGTACATGAATATGTTTTTGAATAGGACGTACGTGTATATGTTAATTTTATTCAATCGTGTCTTTGGCATGATGCTGTTCAAATTGGGTATACTAAGTCACTGCACTACTTACATGTCCTAAATGCATGATCATTGGCAGGAGAATGGATAATTGGGATTTACCAAGTGCCATGTGCCCATGTACTGGTACGGTCTCAATCATCACAGTGTTGAATGATAAAAATAATGCCATTTTTTTTTAATGTCAAGCATTCCAATGCAGAACCACAACATAACTTATCAAGCATTTTGAGCAGTTGGGAGAGTTACTATAAGTGGAGGTGTCTCCCTCTTCATTCACCGGTTTCCTTCCTCCTCCATCTGGTAAGATGCTGATTCTATATTTGCTCTAGTGGAGCTACCAAAAACCAAACCAAATAAATTTTTTAAATGTTACCCATTTCCATGTACTTAATGAAAAATTATTCATTTCTAATTTTTTCTACTAACAGCTAGTGTTTTTTTGAGAGTGTTAACTTGTATTAATAAAACAGATTTACATGATGAATAAACTACCTATGGCATCCCACATATCGGGTGGTCAGTATACAGTAAAAAAAGGAGAGAAAGAGCAAAGATGCTCAGGGGGAGAGAGTACAACCAAAAAAGAGTAGAGTAGTGAAGCAGATTGCTAAAAGATACTGCTGCTGATGAAGTTCTCCAAATACTCTGGTGGAGTAAGCTGTTCGGACCACCTTTTTAGTGTCTCGGCAGCAGCTACGGTGGGCAAGAAGCATAAGGAGAGAACAAACAATGCATGGGAGACTATACTTTTGAAGTCCTTGCTCGCCTGCTGTCTGCTGTGGACGATGGTGAGGCTGGCCGAAGGTCCTGTAGAATTAGAATGTGGCAACCCTCCTAACGGGTGCTCGAAATACAGTTGTAGAGAGCAAGAAAAGAGCAGAAGTACTGGGGGAGAGAGAGCTAATATAGCAGATGACCAAAGAAAGCATAGAGGCTGCGGGGCAGAAAGAGTAAGTCCAAAAGAGGAGGGACCACAATTGTTGTGGAAAAAATAGACAGAACGAGAGAAAGAAAGACATAAAAGTCAGTAGAGGGGTCTTCAAGATGAGCTGATGAACTCAGGTGTCGGGGCTGGCTGGGCACCTTCTAAGATGGACAAGGTGCTAGTGGAGTAGGCTGCTGTAGCGTGGTGGCTGTAGCCTGAAAGGCTTGTGATGTTGTGTCATATGTCTTCAGACTGAGTTGCTAGCAAGCTTTATCCAAGCAGATGAGAGGGGCTGAGGCCAGAGGCAAAGGGAGAGATGGAGAGACAATGAGAAACAAAGGAATTTGTTTTTGTAGCTAACTGAAGAGAAGAAAGAGGAGGAAGGTGGAGAGAGTAGGAGAGGAAGAAGAGAAATAAAGATAAGAGGAAGAGAGATGAATGAGAGGGGCGAAGTAAAGAGATAGAAAAACAAAGCAAGGGGAGAAGAGGGCAGAGTGCTGTAGGTAGATGAGAGCACAGTGGATAGAGCAGAATGGAGAGAGAGGAGAAGCAAAGAGTAAAAACGCCAGAATGTATGAAGAAGAAGAAGTGAGGGAGGTGAATTAGAGGAGAGGTTCGAGGATAGAAGGGTTGGAGAAGCCGCTTACTAAGCCTCCCAAAAAATCGAAACACCTGTATGCTTCCTATTGTTTCTTTTTTTCTTCTTTTTTTTCCTTCCCCCCCTGCCCTTTTTTTTTTCTTTTCCCCTTTTCCGTTTCCTTTTCCCTTTGTTTTTTGGAGGGGTTGGGGGGGAGAGAAGAAGAGAGAGATAGAGGCAGAGGTCAAAGAGAAGGGAGAAAAGGAGAGATAAGTCCGGGGTCTGACTGAGTACCTGGGCCTTGGAGAGCGCCTTCTTTTGCAAGTCTATCTGCTGAAGTATTGGCCTCACGAAAAACCAAATTGAAGGTGAGTGCTGGCAAGGAGCTACAGAGAAAAAAGATGTGGTCGAAAATGAATTGTAATCTTCCAGGGGGGGGCTGCTGTTGAGTCGCCCAGAAGATGGTGTTCTTGGAATCTGACTCTACTCTGTCCAGAGAAACAATGTACTTGAGACCTTCCAAAAGGGCCATGGCCTCAGCGTAGGTGGAATCTTGAATTCCAATATAAGATGAGAAGTCCAGAGCATGTCATTGGAGTCAACAAGCTGACCTCCAATGCCTGAAGGGCCACGGTTTCCAAGAGAGGATCCATCTATATTAGAGTTTAAACTTGCTAGGTGGTGGAGGGGTCACATTGAGAATACATTCTCAATTTGACAAGAAGTGTGAGATAGGAATGTTTGCCAGAATAGGTAGGGTTTTGGCCCAAAGGAAGATGAGGATTGAAATGTTTTTGAAGATAGCTTGTCGAGTCCTCTGGGTACCTCTAAAGATTCTTGAGTTTCTTTCTAACCACACACTCCGCAGTAGGGCTGCTACTGACAAATGCTAAAGTTTTTTCCCAGTTTTGGTGAAAGGGGGGGAAAGGAAAGATTGAAAGAGATTGGAGAGGGTTGGGGGGATAACCCATTGGAGGCCACAAAGCTTTAGGAGTGAGGACCATAAGGCTAGGGAAACCTCACAGTGTATGAATAGGTGAGGGATATTTTCCTTTTCCTGAAAGCACGGTACATCTATTGGGGAGAGAGACCCCTCTATGTTGAAGTTGATCCAAGGTGAGTGTTTTTCCCTGAAGTAGAATCCAACTGAAACCTTGAACTTTGAGAGGAATAGGTAGGGACCAAGTTTTTTGAGGAGGGGAGTGGGTTCAGGTGATGAAGTAGAGAGCTATAAAAGGAAGAGACTGTGAAGGTTCCCGAGGGGCTAGGAGACCAAATGATGGAATCTTGACTCTGGAGAGAGGAGAATATGAATGAGAGATCAAGGAGTTGCGAAGTGAGGGAGGTAATCTCCTGATCCGAGAGATTTCTTCTAAAAGTAGGGGTTCAAACTAGGTCAGTGCCATTAAATTGGATGCAGTCTGCCACTAGGGCCTCTTGATTCGTGGCTAGAGAGAAGAGAGAAGGGAAGGTTATCCTAGTAGGGGAATGCCCAAACCATAGTCCAGAATTTAATGCGAAGCTAGATTGGCTAAGGAAGGCAGATCTAGTGGAGGATATACTTTTCCAGGCTCTCGAGTATCTATGAGGAGGGGATATAGGCAACCAGGCATATGTACCCAGCCCATATTTGCTGTTGACAATTTCATTCCAAATTAGAGGGTGAGGTGAGGGGTATCTCCACCACCATTTCCCAAGTAGAGCCAGATTCATTGTCCTAAGGTTCTTGATACCCAGGCCACCAAATGTTTTTGGAACACAGACCTTATCCTATGCAACTATGTGGTATTTATGGGACCCCTCAGCCCCAGCCCATAAGAAGTCTCTCATCAGTTTTTCCAGCTGCTTTAGGACAGAGATTGGGATCTGAAGGAGGAACATGGAGTAAATGGGGATGCTGGCTAGGGTAGCTCGGATTAAGGTATTTCTACCCCCAAAAGAAAGGAAGCGGCTCTTCCAAGAGGCAAATTTCCATTTAAATTTTTCAATGAGGTTGTCCCATAAGTGTTTCCTGGGTTTACCTATGCAAAGGGGAGGACCTAGATAGGAAGAAAGCAGGGTTTCAGTGGAACAACCTAGGCGAAGTGCAAGATGTTGTAGTTCTGGGTTATCTACCAGGATCCCAATCATTTTAGTTTTGGATAGGTTGACTTTCGTCCCAGTGACGAGCTCAAAGGTTCTAAGGTATCTCCAAAGGCAATTTAGTTGTTCGGGGTTTGCATCACAAAAGATGAGTGTATCATCTGCATAAAGGAGGTGATTAATCACAGGACCAGCTCGGGTGGATCGAAAACCCGAAGACCCTTTTCATACAGCCTAGATAAGGTTCGGGAGAAGAGTTCACCTATGAGAGTGAAAAGGAAAGGAGTGAGCATATTGAAAGAGAGTGAGCATAGTTGTTAGTTATTAATCGTCTCTTATGGACTTTACTTGAACACCTGTAGTACTATCTTCTCTTTCCAGATTTGATTCCTTTGCAAAACCAGAAAATGATAAAGAGTTCTTAGATACATTTGTTTTTAATCCATAGCCTTGAAAAATGCAGCTGTAACCTTTCGCACTAGGATCAAAGGGTATCTTAATTATTGCCATAACATTTCCATTAAGTATGGTAGTAAGTAGTATTGAATTAGGTCCTGGCAGGTAGTGCATAAAAAATTTGATTGTCAATCCAAGATGCTAGGAGGTTTGGATTCTGGAAGTTCCACTTGTTTTGTAACTTGGAAGGAAGTATTTCTTAAGGATGGGAGTGTCTAGATGAGTGTGTAAGACTATTTGGAGTCTGAGCTGCAATGCTGAAATGTAATTAGGCTATTTGGAGTAAGGCTATTGAATTATGTCTTGGCAGGTAGTGCATAAAAAATTTGTTTGTCTATCCAAGATGCTAGGAGGTTTGGATTCTGGAAGTTCAATTGGTTTTGTAACTTGGAAGGAAGTATTTCTTAAAGGATGGGAGTGTCTAGGTGAGCGAGTAAGGCTATTTGGAGTCTGAGCCGCAATGCTGAAATGTAATAAGGCTATTTGGAGACTGAGCCACAATGTTGAAATGGAATATAATGATGGAAGAGTTGGCAGGTTTTTGTGATGCTTGAAGGCATTATTTTGTTTAGATCTATGGAAGTATTACTAATTACTACAAATGGATGCTTATTTTTCGTCTAGATTGCTACATCCGTAGATATTTTATGCTTTATTTATGGATGGTGGTTTTTTTTATTTCACCATTTTGTATCAAGAACTTTGGTTGTACATATACATGTGGATGGTAAGTGCATGTCCCTTTTTATGTTTACCTTTCCTGCTAATGCAGATACAAATACAAAGAATGGGGATATGACTCAACATTTCTTAAAATCTTGGATACCACAGATACATTTGTGAGCATCCTACCTAGGACACCCATAAATAGCATAAATTGTATGATATGGAAACGATCTTGTATACTGGGCTTCCATGGGAGCACACTGTTCACTTACTCGCTCGGGTGCAAGACCTACATATGAATATTTCTCGATCTAAAAGTTTGGGATCCACTTTAGAATCATTGGGTGAGTATAAAAAACGAATAGGATTTTGAGTTTCTAAACACTTAAGAGTGGACCTTCCAAGTATCGGGCAGCCTCCGTTCAATCTTAGGATGTTACTTTCTTCAGATAAATATAGAACGTATATGATTATATATTTATTTGTTTGAGGTTGGTCCCTAGGTTGAGGAGGTTACATCCCCAAAATTTGGAAGTAACAAGATATATTTTTAGATAGGGTTTTTACATGAGGGAGCATATACCATCTAAAGCA